CGGGCGGACTACTTAAATAGGCAATCAAAAGTTGTACGTGTGACTAGTTGTACTCTCGTGATACTGATGTAACATGTAAAGCCGGTGTTAAAATTAACATTGGCCTACCACTTGTACTAATAAAGTGCCAAGGGCCTAAGTAGTCACCTTAATATTTAAAAAAAAAAAAAAATCAATAATTCATTTCTATCGACTAATAATTGAAAGATATTGATAGAAAGATATAATCAGTAATCAATCATAATTTTCAAATTAAAAATAAAATAATTATGTATTAGAGTAATGACGTATTTGATGATTTTTACGAATAATAAAAATCATTGTTTGTATCACTTTCAATAAAAAATCTTTTATAAGTTACATATTGGATAATTCATAATTAATAGCTAGAGATTTCTATCGCTATTCATATTAGATCGTACTTAAAATATATTTCACAGCTTGATTATATTTTTGTTATGTAATTTACTCTATACGAACACCTTTTATTATAAAGTTGTACTAATCAACTATTTTTATAGGTTTTAGAACAAGATCCTCAAGTCTTTAATCGTGCAAGCGCTGTAAAAAATTTAATTAATAATCATCAATTTTGGATTGATGTTGAGCAATTGCAAAATATTCTTGGCCCGGTAAAACAGGCTGTAAAATGCGTAGAGTTTCGAACTACTTTGTTGGTAGATGTATTTGTTGAGCTAGTAAAAATGGCTATTTCAATCCAAGAAATTTCTGTTCTCTATAATAACCAGTTTCGGCGTGACTGCATTGCAATTTATAATAGGCGATGGAATGAATTTAATATAGGATTATATCTTTTAGCATTCTTTCTGCACCCAACTTATCGCGATATTTTAAAAGTCTAACAGGTATTTAGTGTGCTTCAAACACGTGCTTAAATTTTTTTTTTTTTTATGATAGGTGATTTTCTTGAGCATAAGATATACAAGAAGTATGTTCTTAAAAGAGCATTGGAAATATGGATGCAATTAGGTGGCGGTTGGACGAGTTGTAAACTTTTAAGGACTCAAATGAATCTGTATAAAAATAATGAAAATCCCTTTGAAGAAAAATTTATTGAATCCGCTAATACAGTAATTAATTGGTGGATGTCTATAGAACTCAAAAAAATGAAGACCACATCAAGACGCTTGCTATACGAATTCACTCTATTTCTCCTCATAATGCTGCGTATGAACGTACCTTTAGTATACTAGGCTGGTATTTAGGAAAAAGGCGAACTAGGTATGTACATTTATTATAACTATACTGTATGACATTTATATATATTATATATATACATTATTATATATTGTTTTAAATGCTATTTTCAGGTTAAGCATTGATCGACTAGAGTTAATGGCTCAAATGCATTCGTTTTTAGTAGAAAATGCCAAATCAGAACTTAACTACGTTAACCAAAATCTTTGCCATGAGGATTTTTTATCTATTTTTAATAAAATTGCAAATTCTATGGAAAATGAGACTGATTTATTCGATAGTGATTCAGTTTCCTTTCCAGAAGAACTTGAAGAAGATATGGAAGAAAATATAGAAGAGTCTTCTGAGGAAACAGATAATTCTGTCAGTGAAAATTCGTTAAATTTAGAAATTGGAAATTTTATATCTTTATCTTCCAGACTAGAATCCAACGAATCGTCAAGTTTAAATGAAGAAATTGAACATGGAAATAGAGATTTTGATTTGAATGATTTGATCAGTGATGATTCTGACTGATAATATAATTGTTACCTCGAATAGAAGATGGTTAATTTAAAAAAAAAAAACATGAACTATCCGACTAAACCTGATGATTCCGAAGGCATATACGTTAGAAGTGCCATTTTATAGGAATTGAAGTTGGAAAAATGAACGTAGAGCATTGATCTATATTAAATCAGCAGTGGAACATATTATAATGCTGGATATTATTATCTCAGTAGAACTGAGCTGAAAAAGGTGAATGTAAGGCATTCGTCTAATATCAAAAATCAGAAAATATAAAGAACATTAAGGGAAAGGGAATATTCTTATCAAAATGTACAATATTAGATATTTTTATTCAAATAAAATTGGGAAGTTGAAAAGAGAATGCTAATAGAATATATAATATAGATATTTTTTCTTAAGTTCCATTAGCAAGTATATGCAATTTAAAATTATTTTAACTGTATATTATTTTCTGGGTTCAACTTAATTAAAGAATTTTATATTAGTTTTTATTATCTTAATGAAAGTTTTACATTGGAATTTATTAATAAACAAGAAGATACTGATTTAACGTTAATTATAAAGGTTAGCATTAAGGTTACGGGTTAACTTCCCGAAATCTATTTTCTAAAATACCATTCACCGAATTCATAATATTGACAATCCATTTTGATAATTTTGATATCTTATTTGAATATCATAACAAATTTCCCCACTAAGGTGTTCTCAATCACATCACTCAATGGATCGGAAGAAAATTTAAATTAACCAAGTGAGTTACCATTTCAATGAACAAATCAGCAAGACATGAACTGCTTTTTTCTTCAAAAATTTACCATTGGCAAAGGTCGCTCAAGCATTACCTTTATATTTTTTACATATCAAACATAATAAACAATTAATTCTTACCAAATTTCTGACCGGTAAAGATAGCTACCTTATTTTTAATATTCGAAGCTTTTAAAACAAATAATTGATATATTAATATGAGCATAATAAATACAACTATCTTTAACATTTAACAAAACTATACCGAATATTATTATTCAGTAAAGAAGGCCTAAAACTGAAAGGTTTGGGTAGATGTTTTTCCATATTTGACGGATAATAAAGAAATTTAAGTTGTTAAAATCATTAAAGAGGAGCTGATGTAACTGAAGTTGAAACTTTAACGGTTGATCGAAAGGAAATTTTTTTTCATTAGGTTTTTGAATAGTATAGCGAATATTTACAAAAAACAGAAAAGTATGCTCAAGCATTTAATTCTATAAATATCGTCATCAATTGTGATTAATTGATTTAGATGCTTGAGAACAGTAACGGGAAGAACCGTTGATGTTACACAACTGATTTTACACACGGTGTGAAACACATGAAAAAATCATTTTACAATACTTTGATCGGACTTGATCAGTCATTTTTTATTATAAAAAAATAATGTTGGATTATAATCATAACATGTACTAGCTGACTGATCAATTCTATTCAAGTATTGTAAAATGATTTTTTTATGTGTTTCACACCGTGTGTAAAATCAGTTGTGTAACATCAACGGTTCCTCCTGTTGAGAACAGTTGATTGAAAATAAATATTTTAAATAGAGTAAAAAAGATGTTCAAGCGCTTTGCTTTACGTCATGGATTTTTAGTAAAATTATAATAAAAAAATTATTTTGTTTTTAAAATCTATCTACTCAAACCAATTATAATGAATTTGTAAGTACTGTTTCGAGCTGTTAAATCATGTGACTTTGCGGCATAGCATATATGAGTGCCGTCAAAGGAAAACCTACAATCTGGGTTTCAGATATATTTTGTGTGCAGTTGGTTATCTGTGTGCCGTCTATGGTAAATCTATGTCCGATGATAGATTTACCATAGATGGCACACAGATAACCAACTGTATACAAAATATACTTGAAACCCAGATTGTAGGTTTTTCTTTGACGGCACTCATATGTAAGATAGCGATAGGGTGTCCTGGATTATAATCCGGTAAATGCCAAATTATGCATCCGGTAAATTGCAAATTATGTGAATTTGAGTTATTAGCCAATAAAAATTCAAAAAAGCACAACAATTCAGGTGATTACAATTACATATACAAGCCAGTTTATTTATTTAACTAATCAATTTTTGGTTGCATGTATATAAAAGTGAGCAAATTATGCGAATTCATATGTATAATATGTCGCATCATTATCCTGAACACCCTAATATAAGATTATGTGATAACTAAAGGGTCATGCCAAAAATATTTGAAGTGCTAAAAACCTATTACTTTTATAGATTTGGGATTTGGGATCGGAATTTGGGTTTGGGATTTGGGATTTGGGATAGGATTTGGATTTGGATTTGGGATTGGGATTTGGGATGGGATTTGGGATTGGAATTTGGGATGGGATTTGGGATTGGGATTGGGATTGGGATTTGGGATTTTACCAAAGTTTGGAATTTAGCCAGAGTTTGGAATTTAGCCAAAGTTTAGGATTATGATAGTTTAAATGGAATTTTTCCAGTTTGGAATTTGGGATTTATCCAGTTGGGATTTTGGTTTGGGTGAGATTTTTAAAATTTATAGTTTTGCCAACAAGTATACCTATAAGTTGTGCTTCTATCTCTGGAATTTCTTTTCCATTATCTCTTTTACCTTGGATCTATTTATAGCTGTCTAGTAGCTCTCGTATAATACCAATTTGTTCTGGATGTGATGCTCCTATGAAACTTGCTATATCTTTGTCTATTTTAAGAGTTAATAATTTTTGTTCTTTGTAAATTTTCTCAATTTGCTTTTCTGGATTGTTGTAGAAATTCTTTAAATCTGCTAT